ATATGCAGAAGATTAAACCAATGACATATGTGTTAAAATCTCTAAAATTAATGCACAAAGGAGCTTGGATATTACACAATTAATTTTCTAATCAATGAGTACCAAGAAATCTGATTTAAAAAAAATATCACAATGAGAATAGAAAAATCAGATTCAGAATTTTAATAATAAATCCCTAAATCAATGAACAACTCAAGATATTTAATATTCAGATTATCCCACTCAAAATCTTTAAAACATATGAATAATAGATCTAGAAATTTCAGATTAAATGCTTCAAATCAAAGATTCATAAAAAATTGAGTTGGTCAGAAAATACAACAATGAAGCCCTAGCATTCTGTAATCTGCTCCCTCAAGAAACCCCAAATCAGCCACAAGATTGCAAACCTTACTCTTGGGTTTTCAAGATCTTTGCCTTACTCACTCTCAGTAATCAAAAAAAATTATGCGCTTTACTCCTTGCAAACTTTCTTCACAGTGACAATAGAAGAATTTTTGTGAAACGGTAGCTATAGTCCTTTCTCTTCGCGTGTGCATTAACAGAGCAAAGAAAGAAAGATTTTTCCAAATCGATTTCCAGAAGATTGTTATGAGAGGCGGTGGTTTTCGTATATGAGAGAGAGAGGGAAACTTTTTGTTCAATTTTTTTTTTCAATCGGTTATCTGTGTAAAAATGAGGTGCAACATTTCTTTTATTTAAAAGTAATGCACCTTTATTGTTTTCAATCCCACGTGAAGCTTTTTCAAATCAAAACCTGATAGCTTTCTTTTTCTTTTTTCTTTTTTCTTTTTATTTTTTATTTTTATTACTATTATATATGTTTTAAAAGAACCCACATAAGTTTTTTTTATTTTAAAACCAACGACCTGATAGCTTTACTTTTCTTTATTTTCAATAGTTATTATTCTAGTTATATTAAATATCTAATTGATTTAGTTTAATTGTTTCAAATTTCAAATCTTAACCATAACAAACAAAACTAATCATTATTATTTAATATGAAATTAAATGCATGAAATGCAATGATATGCATTGGAACTTAGAAAGATACTATATGATATAATATTGTGTATAACAAATTTTTAAAAAATACCTAATTACTTGTATCTTCAAGCTCTATCTTCTATTTGAGATTTCTTGTAAACCCTTTGTCATAATCAAAATATATATTACATAATGCTTAGAGGTCTTTAGATATCCTGTCACTATATATATATATATATATATAAAGTTTATCATTGCTTGTTATTGGCAATAATATAAAACGGTTGCCTTATATATACAACCATATATTTAAAATTTATTCAAATTTAATGGCCTTATTTATATATTGATATTGGCAACTAGAGAAGACCAGTAACTCCACATCATATATGCATCATGTTAAGATGAACTTGATACATAAGGAACAGACAAACACGGATGAAGGAATATAATTCATGTGATACATGAAATCTCAAAGGCCAAGGCACCACTAATTTTGGCAGAACTGGATTTCGCAGTTTCTCTGAGGGTCAAAGAGTGTCCTGAAACTGATTTGTCCCTAAAGCAACTATTTTACCAACTAACAAGAATTAAAAAAAAAATCAGCAATAAAAATATCAAAATTAATAATATTCCAAAAAAAAAATTAGAGGGGTAAAGATAAATATTAATTAATATAAAATCATATAGAAAACTGGAATTAAATTTAGTTTGTATAATATCTCCTTAATTAAAAAAAAAATTCAAAGGTTTTCGTTGGAATTAATTTTTTTATCAAAAATTGCAACAAAATCAAATTTTCGTCGTTAATGTTTACAAAATTAATTTCTTTTTATATTTATTTCTTTATTAGGTTTTCAACGGAATTTATTTTTTTAAAAAAATATAATTTATTTTTTATACAATTTTCGATGGAATTAATTTTTCTTAAAGTTTTTTCATAAATATAATTTTTTTATAATTTATTTTCTTAATGAAATTTTCAACGAAATTATTTTTCCATAAAAATTTCAACAGAATTTGATTTCCGTTGAATAAATATAAAATTTTTATATTTTTTTTTTATAAAATTTTAGACAGAATTTGTATTTCGCCAAAAATTTTTGATGAAATGTGATTTCCTTCGAAAAGTTCATAAATATAATTTATTTTAGGATTTACTTTTTTTATAAAATTTTGGACGAATTATTTTTTCGTCGAAAAGTTTATAAATATAATTTCTTTTGTGATCTCTTTTTATAAGATTTTTTACGAAGTTATTTTTTCGTCGAAAATTTTCGACTAAATCTGATATCCGTTAAAAGATTGACAAATATAATTTCTGTTAACATATATTTTTTCTAAAATTTTTGACAGAATCTATTTTTCGTCAGTAATTTTTGACGGAATTAATTTTTCGTCAAAATTTTTTAACGAAATATATTTTCATAAAAAACTTTAACAGAATAAATTTTCTGTCACCAGTTTTTACGGAATATTTTCTGTTGAAAATTAAGACTTTTCTAATAGTTTCATATATTGGATTAATATTTAAAAAATTATTTTTCAATAAAAAATTCATTAATATTTTACTAAAATTATTTAAAATGCAATCTTATCAAATGTTGATCGTAAAAGTTTTGTAAATTCATACTGTTCTTATAAATTTATTAAAAATGTTTAAATTCGAAGAATTTTTGTCCTAATTTTGTTAATGTTAATCTAATACACCCGCATGGAAAAAGTAATTCCAGACCTATTTTCTTTACCTCCATAGGTAGGGGTGTAAGGATTAAACCGGCTTACAGGGGCCTACGGCCTAACCTGTATTAAGTCAGGCTTGGTCTATTACAAATTATAAAATAGAACAGCCTAGGCTTTTTAAAAAATCTATTTAGAAAATAGGCCATAGACTTTTATGTATATGTCGAGCCTATAAGCCTGCAGGCCGACTTATATCATATTATTTATTTTAAATAAAATTATTATTTTAATAAGTTTGAATAATAAAGTAATATTAATTTAGTTATCCTTTTAATAGTTTAATGTTCAAGAGGCTCAAACAGACTAACAAACTTAGGAGGTGTATTGGATTGAGATTGTAATGAATTTTAATGGATTATTTTTGAACAAAAAATCTATTGATATTCAATTAGGATTTTAATGGAATGAAAAAAAAGTCATGTGATATTTGATTAGGATTTTAAAAGATTATTTTAGAGTCCGTCCAAATCCGTTGGTATTTAATCAAGGTTTTAAACAATGGAAAAACAATCTTGTGGTATTCAAAAATCTAATGATTTTAATGGATTTTCTATTGGTGTGGATTCATTAGACTTTTTAGTAAAAAATATAAATAAGATGCCTCTCTCACAATCTTATCTTAACCCTTGAGATTTATTGAGATTTCTCTATTGCAGTGTTTTCTTCTTCCTTTGGCAGGTTGACCCGCTCGAAATTGAGTTCCGCCATAAGAGCTTCGTCAAAACTCAAAAATAACATATTTTTGAGCGATTTTCTTCACAAAACTCAGAAACAACAAACCAACGAGATCTTAATATAATCTATTTCAAAAGTAGCATATTTTTTAGCCATTTTTGAGAAATGTTGGAAGTATAAAAAATGATTTTTCAAGCTATGGTCGCGATTTTCTAGACACAAAAAGGTGTGATTTTTGTACTAAAAACAACATAAAATAGTGGAAAAATAATACTCAAACCAATTTTCGTTTTACATCAATGAAACATTATTAATTTAAAGAAAGATTGAAACTTTAATAATATGAATCCTATATTTCGTAACAAGACATTCGTGAACGAAATTCCTTTGCTATAGGAAACGATTTTAAACAATTTTTGTGTCAATAGATAACTAAAAATTTGCTTTTTAAAAATCCCAAAGCAATTTAAGGTTTCAATGTATCGATTGAAAAAAATTTGAGAAATTTTCTAAACTTTTATGTAATAAAACCCAGAAACTCTGCTTACCAAAAAAAAAAAAAAAACCCAGAAACTTATATTCGAATTTTTCGTAGAATATTCAATGAAAATATGCATATTATAAGATTGGAAAACTCTTATCACGTAGAACAAAAACCCCAAAGTTTTCAAGTCAATTGCAAAAAATTCTAAATGAAATTTTATCATGAACTTTAGGTTCTATATGCAAATTTAGAATTATTTTAATAATTAAAAAATTGAGTCTTGTAATCATATATGCATAGCTTTGATACCAAATAAAGAAGATAATTTTCAACGCATTGGTCAAACTCAAGAGTATGAATGAGAAAATGCTAATGCATCGAGGACTAGTAGTCTTGTATAACTTTAGATATGTGAAAAGCGGTTGCTTAGTAATTTTGAATGTTTGTTAAAAATTATATTATATTTTACTAATTGAAAAAATTATATTAGATTTTTTTTATTAATTTTATTACACTTATTTTTTTTATTGACTCTTGTAATTTTGAATGTTTGTTAAAAATCCTCATTGTCATTTCAAATCTTATAAATTCACATTGTCATTTCAAATCTTATAAATTTTATTAAAATCCTTTAAAATCCAATCTTATGAAATCTTGATTGTAAAAAAAGTGTTTTACAAGAGTATTTAAAGTAACTCCAATTATAAATAGTTTTTTAAAATCTATAAGATTTTTTATCTCAAAAAAATCTTTTAAAATCGTAATTCAATACACCCCTTAGGCTAAAGCTTTTATTTTTTAAATATAGGTGATGCCAACTTATAATTTGGAGCCTACATAGGTTAATAGGCCAGCCAGACTAAATATTTTTCCAAAATTTTTATTTTTTAAATATAAATCATGTCAACTTATAATTTGAAATCTATACAAGATCAGATTAGACTAAATATTTTATTTAAGTCTAATCTATTAAAGACAAAATCTAATCTGAGCAATTTACACTCATTACAAGCCGGTGACGCAACGACACCGATTTAAGCATATTATTCTCTTAACAAAGATATTTGAAGCCCTGTCGTTTTCCTCTTCCACCTCGACTTTAAAATAAAAACCCTAGTCGGAAGTTGCAGAGCACGAGAAACCAAAGCTGAAAAACCCTAACAATCTAGAGGCAAGAAAAAATGGGGGGCAAATGTCCGCACAGACACGTGAAGAAAAGAAGATATTCTCACAAGACTGCTCGCCGTACCAAATTCCTCTACAAAGATATCCTTTTTGTTACGCTTGATTTTTGTCCCAAATCAATTATTTTCTCCTTTCTTTTGGAATTCATTGGATGTGATTCTTGACATGTGAATTGGACACGGGATGACATGGTTTATGCGCAGCTAAATCAGCTTGATGAAGATAAGAGCACCTTACCTGTAGATGAAGATTTGCCTGGGATGGGCCAGTACTATTGCCTTCACTGCGAGTCTCTCTCTAATTTCTTATTCTTTCTCTCTCTTTTTTTATTAGTATAAAAAAGTTTGCAAATTTAATGATTCTATGATACGGGGTTGAAAAGTTTGGGTGTTTACTAGAACACTGCTATGCAAAGTGCAGGTAGAGAATTTGGAGTAACTTGGGAGGAAAAATTTTCATTTATTCCCATTTTGCTTATTCATTTTATTTTAATTATTAAAGACGCTAGTTGGTTGTGTTTTTTATGTTGGTTGGGTTTTTGATGCATCATGAGTTATTCTTTTGATATATGCAGTCGATACTTTTCCAATGTAGCTGTGAGGGATGAGCATTTTAAGACCAAACGACACAAGAAGCGGTATGATGGCTTTGCTTTTGCTGATATTCTCCCTGCTCCCACCCCCTTTATTTTCTATCCTTCCCAACTTTTTCTGCATTTGCATATTGGTGAATATTGGTTAGGTTGATGGTATTGCTTTTGAATTTTGAGGTTCTATGAAGTTTTCTGTAAGAGTTTTTGGATGTTTGAAAACATAAAGCAGTTGGACACTATGAAAGGAACATATCTTGATTTCTAACAAGGATGTAATTGAGTGGAGTTTAACTGAAAACTAGTAAGCTCAATCTTGTTTTGCCAAAATGTAT